TCTGAGTAGTGTTTGAGGGCAAGGGGAACGAATAGAGGAGAGGGGGAAGTGTGTGTATATGTGTGTGCGCGTGGAGGGGGGGGGGTGAGGGGTGGCAGAGAGTACTTGAGCGAGTCTCTGAGTGTGATTATTTGTTCACGTATGCGCCGCTATGTGTGTGCATCCTTGATCCTGGGGCTGGTTGTGTGTTTTCAGATCCATCTCGCTTCATACGCACTCTGTTAAAGCTCGTTCCGAGCATCTTTATAAACTAATTGAAACCGAGAAGGCAGCGGGTCCTAGAAGACTTCCTAAAGGATCCAGTCATTTATCAACAGAGGCCCCGCTAAATACGTTGCACCTCTAATTTAATTAACTCAGTCAATAGGTTTCTGGAGACCACAACAACCTCGGCAATGCTCGGATGTAAGTAGCTCTATAAGTCGTGTTCTGTGAGAAACTTGCAGAGGTTTAATTTTTTGTCAAACCCATGGATTAATTGTCATCAACTGATGGCCCGCAGGCCAAATACAGCCGATTCGCTCATTCACTTTGGCCTGAAAAGTGTTGGAATAAAAATAAATCAAACTCAATTTGGCACACTGCTGCAGTTTCAGAGGTAGGACCCCGGGATGCGAAGTAGTATAAAGCTTAAATTGATTTTAAATTACAAAATAGACAGGCTGATGTGAACGCAGCTGCTCACAAAACAATAATTAAAAAACATGTTTTTAAAAAATGCGGAGGAGAACCAGACATGTTGTAAGCACCATACAGTGCTAACAGCAAACTATTGAGTGAATAGAGGCAGAGGGAATAAAAGAACTGGGGCTGACAAGACGTGGGAGGCAGCAGAGCTTAATGAAACAGGAAACAGGTGGGAGTGGGCGTGGCAGCACTGAGATGCTGGAGCTGAACTGAGGGAAACGTGGCGTTACAGCATCAGTTTCAAGCATGGCGTAGTAATAGTTTTTGGGTCATCTTTTGTTTTCTTGTCGACGATATTTTTTAGAAACAGTGTTTACAAGGACATTTTTAGAAACGAATTGATCACACAGGAAAAGAAAGTGTTTTTATGTGGACAAAGCCTAAACTTAAAATTTGAGTCAGATTTAAGACTCTGCAACTACCTCAAAAGAAAATTTAGCATTCATGTTTTGGGCATGCTCTGCAACTCTTTGGAGGAAACTGAAATAATAATAATAATAATAATAATAATAATAATAATAATAATAATAATAATAATAATAATAATAATAATAATAATAATAATAATAATAATAATAATAATAATAATAATAATAATTTGATTTGTAACACACTTTTCATTAACAAAAATCTCAAAGTGCCACAATAAGTAAATAAAATTACAAAATGTTCTGAGACATTCTCCTTTATGTTTACAGCTCGTTGCCAGTTAAGTCATGTCCCAAAACACAGGAGGTTTCAGCCCAGTTTATAACAGATTTATAACTTCCCTCAAGTGAAAATAATCTTTTTGTACATTTACAGTTTATGTTGAAAAATCTAAACTAAATCTACGTTGTAAAAAAAAGAAAGAAAGTGGAAATGTTGCAACTTCGATCCACAACAAGCCGCTGCCGGCTGAGAAGTTTTTCCTTCCGTGACGCGTCTCCAAAAAAGGTCATCCATGAGTCCGCAAGAGTTTTATACATTTAATTTAAAAAAATTTAAACTGTACGGACAACGCATGAGGCATAATTACAAAAAGATAACACTGAGATAATAATGACGACGGTCAACAAAACGTTTTTCCGAAAACCTCTCACGGCGGGACGCATGGGCTTCACCTGGATGCCTGCAACCACGCCCCTTATTTCTATTACCTGGAGGTGCAGGACTAATCTAAACACCTGTGCCACCAGGCAACAAATAAACAACAAAAACATTAATTATGGCTCCTACAGGAACTCTGTCTGCCCCTTTCAAAATAAAAGCATGAAAACTAGTGTCTGTTTATGGCAGCAGAAACTTTAACAAATTAAAGAGAAAAGTCTTAATTATTAAAACATGGATACACAAAATCCAGGCCCCCAAGCTGTCTCATTAAGAACATATTGATAACCACCCATTTCAAAGACGGTGGGGGGAAAAAACGGACGTCGTCCCTGTGACATCACCTACTGGTTTCCGTTTGGGCCATTACCATAATGCTCTTTGAGGACCAGTTCTAGGCGAGCGGTGGGTCTGACTGAAGACTGCAGATGAAGGCTCACTGAGGAGCAGCTTGTCAATCTCAATCCCCCTGTTGGCCATTAGACAGAGTGCACGCTTCAAACACTCCTGCAGAGGCTTTGTTTTAAAGACACCAGAACAAGTTTGTTTCAGTTGAACAGCGTGTGGCTAAAATTATTATCTCTAAACTTAAATATGAATGAGTTCAAATAAGAAGTTTAATGAGAAAACAAGCGCGCCAACCTAAAGTTGAGAGAAACCAGAACCACAAAAACAACTAGACACTTTTGTCTTAACCTCARGGAGTCGTGTAATTTAACAAACTTTTTTCTCCAGCAAGAGTCACATATAAGAAGTCATTTGGAGATATTAAATAATTTAGTAAATTTAAGTTCTGCTGTTTGTAGCTTAATGGATTAGTTGGATTAAAGGGATCCCCTATTAGTTGTAACATTAGACTTTATTTAATAAACTTGTATTTTAACTGTAAAATAAAGACTTTGAAAATACTGTAGGATGTTTAGTTTTTATCATTTTTAAACTAAAAGTTTAAAAATATAGTACACTGACGAGGCCATTTTATTCACATGCAAAGCATTCTGGGTAAATGATGTCAACTAGGTCCTCGGTGCGAGGCTGCTGGCGAGTTATATCCACCCTGAAGGTTAGTCTTGGACAATATCTGACGATCGACTCTTTTAAATGAAACCAGAGAGCGCTGACAGAGAGGAGAAGGTAGAAATGACTCAGCCTGTAACTGAAAATATGGATGGAAGACCTCAGATTAGCTTGTTTGTTGCACTAGCACCGAGCTAATATACTGTATAAAAGGCAATATAGTGTCAGTGCTAGCACAAAGGCTAATGCTGCGTTCACACCGAACGTGATTTCAGCTTCAAAATCGCAGCCAACGCTGAAGTTTGTCGCTTGTGCAC